CGCTCCAGCGAGCCCTTGAGCGAACAATGCTCTACCTCGTTCAAGCCCTTCGCTCACAAGCTTGCTCCAGTGAGTGAGCCAGCAAAGGCTCCCCTGCTTCAAGTTTTCCACTGTCAAGGGTTTAAATGGCTCGCTAGACCTTTCGCTTCAGCCAGGAGGCCAACGAGCAACCCAAAAATTACATAGGGCCTGTTTGTTTCTTGCACTATACAAGGAAAAACTCCACCAACCTTATGTTCCTAATTGAAGCCTGGAATGGAAACCACTAGCCAACACACAAGGGTGCACTTATATCCTAATCTATATTATATGATTGTGCCTCCTGCTTACAGTATAAATTGATTCAATTATGTACTTAATCATTAAGTTGCTCAACCTTTAACTTAGCTTTTATGACATTATCTTCTTCTTGCCTATTTCATACTATAATCATTTAGGCACATATGTACAAATCCCAAGTCATACAAATAAGCATCCATGACCCTCCATCATAAAAGCCAATGGTACATAATTACACAAGGTACAATATTCAAATACATAATTATGGAACTTAGCTACAAAATACTACGATCATATCTTTGGCTCCCTCCAACCACAAGAGATACCAAGGGAAATGAGCATAGGCTAAGTCCATCAAAATACATCATAATATATCAAAAGATAAAAATGGCTATCAAATATAAATCTTATACATGTGAACTATCAAATGACATGCATAACCAAAATAATGCAACATCCATATGTATCAACCTAGCCCAAGTATGGTCACTTGCCACCAAAGACTCCTGTAGCATCTACACCTGAAAGGGGGTCCACACAGCACAGGGTGAGATATATATATATATATATATATATCAGTAAACTAAAGGTCCTTGGAGGATTTCTCCACCCCAAAATTCACTCAGGCATAAAAGGATAAATCCATATAATACAACATATACATATTAATGCTATGCAAACAAGCTCATCCAAGCCATTCCTTCGGAATGCTCATGTACTAATGCACAAATCCTACTGGCCAGAGAACCTACACTCTATGAATTATGCAAGGCTCTACCGTACCACATATCAAGTGTAGCACACAAAGCATACCAATAAATATATCGATGCATTATAACAAGACTTCAATGTCATTACATACACCTCATAAAACCACAATCCATCGAGATTTGGTGGAACAACAAAGGGATAAATTCCAAGGTTCAAAATTTTACCTCTAGAAGCTTCTTACCAAAGGCTCTCCAAGCACACGGATTCCACAACAATAACTTTCTAAAACCAACACTGTTGCGAAATCAAAAAGTACACCGTTCATTTCAAGTAATAAAGTGATAAGTAGAGTACCGTTCCCACGATGTTTAATGCACCAAGTACTAGTTTAACTATTCCCCTTAAGTTGGAAAATAAAATTGGTTTGGTTTGTGAAAGTAATTGAATGTTTATAATTTAAAAGAAGAATTTAAAATAAAATATTATTTAAAAACAGAAAATTAAAAACAATTAATTTTCAACGCATGCAAGAAAAGATTAAGAACTTAAGAGAATATTGATAGAAATTTGTAAAAAGGTTGTAGTCAGGATGCACTTCACCTCCGATCCTCCCTTATATTCCTATATTGTATTTCATAATTTAATTAATTCATTTGCTCAGACAATTCATTATTTTCCTATAAAATAGTTGAACCCTAATGTCTTAGTGATTTCAACCCTTTAACCCAATCAGAATTCTAATGTCTTAGTAATCCCTCTTGAATTAAGCATTAAGCAAATGAATTACAAGTCTGCAATCTATGTAAGCCTATGTCTAGGTCATGAACAAATTGTTATTCTACCATTGTCCAGATTAAAAACCCAACATGTCTATTATGAATTCTAACTCTCAAAGCCCTATAATTTAGAGTGGCCAATTCTAAACAGGATATGGAAAAATTAACATAGGTAGAATAAAATAAACAAACTAATTAACTTATAAAATATCAGTACAGGAAATATAAAGGATTCACATTGGCTCCGTAATCCCAACTACAAAAAGAAATTAGCCAGACATAGTTGGCTTAAACAAATTAAAGAAATAAAAAATATTCATGAAAACAATAAAGAAAAGAAGAAGAAGAAGAATAAATGGTCTTCATTCTTCAACTCTGTCGAAATCCTGATCTCCAGCGTGAGCCTCCAAGAATTCTCTCCAGCCAAAGATTTTTTGTCTCTGAGATCTGAGTCTCTATTTATAGAGTTTATGCCTTGCTTAGAAATCTTGATCGAATCTTCATTGTGTATCTTGGTCCAATCTTCCTTTGATTCAGTCTGAGATAGAATAAAGATTTTTCTGTACCTCACGCGCTACTAGCGCCAGTTTGGCGCTAATAGCGTGGGAGTTGTATTCAGCATACTGCAGGTTGGCGCTACTAGCGTGGTTCCCGCGCTGATAGCGCGGTTGGCAAAACTGGCTGGCACTACTAGCGCCAATTCCACGCTAGTAGCGTGGGAGTCTTTGTATTGAAAATTTCTTCTGGCGCTACTAGCGCCACACCCGCGCTAATAGCGCGGGGCTTCAGACTTGTGCTTCCAATTGGGGCTTCTTTCTGGTCTATTTTCCTACAAAATTAGTAGAAAATCAATGACAAGATATTTGATTAAGATTTATCAATTTAATAACAATTTTAGCCCTTTTTGTCCATGATTGATCAAAATTCTTTCTCTTTTTTGCTTAAAATCATATATATGTTGGAGGCATATCAAACAATTCCCAGATTTGAACTATGTTGTCATCTGCAATGTATTAGAATAAAGATATAAGCAAGGATGAATTCTGTGGAGGGAAAACATGGAACACAAATATCTTAAGAAATCAGACTGTTATACATGTATAACTTCATTGTTGAAAAACTCTAAACAATGCTTTTCAGTTTTATCAAGAAATTAAGATCATAACTTAAATGTTCCTCATTGGATAAATATGTAACTCTCATCATTCTAGTGTTTGAAGGTTTCACACTCATTCCATCAGTGTAGTACTGATTCCATAGGATTGATGATATTCTCAAATTTCGAAAATTGAGGAACTCATTTGACATGCAAAAACTGATCAAAAGGTCTTTGATAGGTTATAACTTGGCCTGGCTTGGGGATAAAAATCTTTTGGATAGAGGCTGATTAATTTGAGAGACTGAAATACTGAGATTTTTGACAATACTTTATTCTCAGTCTTTTAATTCTGCCACTTTTCATCAATTTGGGATTCTTTTCCCTTTTCACTACCTTTTTCTTTTCTTTCCTTGTTTGCAGATGTTTTCTTTCTTTTCTCTTTTGAGCTGCATTTTTACAGTATTTTGCAGACCATTCTTTTGTTTCCTTTTTCAACTTACTTAACTTTTGTTTTGAGAAGTACCTTGCCTTTTTTCCTTTGATCAGCATTTTTATCTCTTTCAAGGTGTGTCAATGGAGAAATGGTCAAGTAATTTTCATCAGATTTTTGAATAAATTGGTCTAAGACTCAAAACGGCTAACAATGAAAAATACTTTTAGGTAGGCTATTTAGCTCTAAGTTAACAAGAATAAACATGCATTTATCATGTCAGTAATGCATGCAAGCTAGAGAAACAGATCAAGTTCTAGAAGACTACTACAGTGAGGCCTCTCTGAAAAAAATTTGTTTAAGCTCAATCCACACAGATATATTTCAAGCTAAAATCTAATTTCAAAATTCACATCAAGCATTATCTAAAAACAATTCACCAAATCAGTTATACAAACGAGCAATCATCACTCTCAGATTGTCTAAAATTTAATGCTCCACAGATATCATGCTTCTTATGATCGAATCTAATTAATTACTGAGTAAGTTTTTGCAAAATCTAGGAATACTTGTTCAGGAATTCTCTCTTTTTTTGGTTTTTTTGATTTTTTTCTAAAAAAAAATTGAATTAAAAATAGCAGAAAATAAGAAAAAGAAAGGTTAAAGTATCTCCCCTTTTTTCAGAAAAATTTTCTGTTAAACGTCTTCGTTGTGCAATTCAGCAGTTAGCAGGTGTCGCATATGGTATGCGCCCAATTCCCAGATTTAGAATTTTGTTGTCCTCGGCAATAAACTAAACTAGTCGAGTGAAGCTAATTCTGCGCAGGTGGAACACACACACTTGTTAAACATTAAACAGAATAATCATAACTCAGCATGTAAAAGGAGATATAATCAAACTATAATCTAAAAACAGCAAAAAGAAAACATTAAAGTCAAGGTAAATGGTGAGAACACTAGCGCTGACAGCGTAGAGTTCATGCTGTGAGTGCGGAACTCACTGGAAATTTTTGGACCAGAGGCACTGGAAGCGCTGATATCGCGCTGTTAGCGCGTTTTATTCATAATTTATGGCGCTTATAGCGCCAACTCCACACTGTGAGCGCGGAGCTTCTGTCTCTTTTTCATTTGTTAGCGCTACTAGCGCCAATTCCCAGATTTAGACTTTTTCATATGGTCACTAATTCACCACTTACTTGACTTGTTAAAAATAAACTAACCTAAGCAAATAAAATAATTAAATAAGAAATTTTAACTATAGGGTTGCCTCCCAATTAGCGCTTGTTTAACGTCACGAGCCTGACGTACCCCTTGTGATTATGGTGGTTGGAAGCATGTTACTATTGATGACCCAGTCTTCTTGATCCAGTATTGTGTCCTTCCATGATCATATGCACGTGGATGAGGAGGAGGATTCTTAAGAACTTTAAGCTTAGGTTTCACCTGTTCTTCCTTGCTTTTGGATTTTTCCATCTTAACTTTTGGCTTGCTTTCTTCATTCCGCTGATGGACTTCCTCCTTGTTCCCTTTCTCGACCTTTTTCTCAACAATGTAATCAACTTGATGTTTAGGTTGAGATGCAGGCAATGGAGTTTCATTTGTTAGTACCTTGAATTTTGCTTGCTCTCCTTCCACGCGCATTATCAACTCCCCTTAGGTACATCGATTTGCTTGCTCTCCTTCCACGCGCATTATCAACTCACCCTTAGGTACATCGATCAGCGCTCCTGAGGTTGCTAGGAATGGTCTCCCGAAGATCATAGGCACACTGGCATCTTCATCAATGTCAAGAATAACAAAATCAACAGGAATTAGAAATTTGTTTACCTCGACGAGCACATCTTCCACAATACCATGTGCTTGCTTTGTTGAGCGGGCGACCAGTTGAACATTCATCCTCGTTGGCTTGACTTCATCAATTCCCAGCTTCTTCATCAGGGTGAGGGGCATCACATTTATGCTGGCACCAAGATCACATAAGACTTTCTCTATGGTCATCTTGCCGATGGTGCATGGAATACTGAAGCTCCCTGGATCCTTCAACTTTGGAGGCAGGTTTTTCTGTAGGATTGCACTGCATTCCTCTGTTAGTGTAACATGTTCATCCTCAGTGAGCTTTCTCTTTTTAGACAATGTCTCCTTCAGGAACGTTGCATATGAAGGCTTTTCCTCCAGAGCTTCTGCAAAAGGAATGCTAATTTGCAATTTCTTAAAAATATCTAAAAATTTAGACATTTTCTTCCTTTGCTCATGTTGCTTGCTCCCCATGGGATATGGAGGTTTCTCAAAACGTGAGAAATCCCATTGCTTCTTCTGAACTACAGGAGGTTGCTCTTTTGCTTCTTCCTTGCCTTCTTGAGTGTGCTCATCCTTGCCTGTAGGAGCTTTCACTTTTTCTAGATCCTCGCTTTTAGTAGTGATGGCGTTGCAGTGATCCCTTGGGTTGATTATAGTGTCACTGGGGAATGTTCCAAGACTTCTCTCAGCTAATTGTCTTGACAACTGCCCAATTTGAGTTTCCAGATTTCTGATTGAAGCATCTTGATTTTTATGATGAGTCCTAGTCTCGTTCATGAACGCTTCAGTTGTCTTTGTCAACTGTATCAGTGCCTTCTCTAGCTTAGATGTTGGAGTTTGTGAAATTGGAGGAGGCTGTAAATATTGGTCGGATTTGTAATCTAAACCTCCCCCTTGAAATCTCCTTTGGAAGTTATTTCCTGGAGCATTGTTCTGCTTTCTCTGGAAGTTTTGCTGTGGTCTTGGATCATTCCAGACTCCATTACAAGTGTTGGGCATTCGTTGGCCTCATGCTCTCCTTTGCAATACTCACAGTTAAACGAGTTAACTTGAGCTGTAGAAAGTTGCATCTTTTCCAACTTCGCATTCAAATTGGCTATCTGTTAAGATAGGATCTTTTGTTCTGCTAGTGATGCATCATTGTTTCCCAATCGCAGAATTCCCCTTCTTGGTTGAACTGGTTGAATTGGTTGAACTTCCATTGATGCGTTCTCATCCCTCGCCCTGAAGTCGATCAGCTCTAAAGTTTGAGCTGTTGTCTTCCTTGCTATGGTGCCATCGGCTGCACCATTGACAACCATTCTGGAGTCTGGTGTCATGCCATTATAAAAGACTCTGACCTTCTTCCCGTCTGACAGATCATACGCGGGGCACCTTCTGATCAGTTCTTGGAATCTGGTCCAAGCTGCACATAGAGTTTCTCCTGGTTGTTGAGTGAAGTTGGTGATTTCATTCACCAACTTGTTGTATTTCTCCCTGGAGAAGTGCTCTGCGAAGAATTTGGTTGCCAGCTCATCCCATGTTCTAATGCTGTTGGGGACTTGTCTATCCAACCATCTGAGATCTTTCCCTGTTACAGCAAAAGGGAACAGTCGGAGTCTAACTGCATCATCTGACACCCTGTTATGCTTGGTAGTGTCACAGATTCTCAGAAATCTGTCTATGAAATCATGGGGGTCTTCATAATCTTCTCCGCCAAATGGGTTTTTCTCCACTAGGGTTATCAGTGCTGGCTGGATATCAAAATTATTGGCGTTGATTGGTGGTCAGATGATGCTGAAATTTGGCCTTGTGAACTGTGGAGCCACGATTGACTCCATCTATTCCTCCTCCGGTGGTGGTAGATTATTATCTGCCATCTCGATTTCGGCTTTTGGCTCTGAACTCGAGGATTCCTCTTTCTTCCTTAGCTTGGTTAGCTTCCGGTTCTTCTTTGCAATCTTCTCGATTTCTGGATCAAACTGTAAAGGTTCTTTGTTAGCTTTACCCGCATAAAAGAGAGAAATCAATTAGTAACAAAAAAAAATTCCAATCTCAAAGATCGAAAGTTAAGACTAATATCGGCGTAATTAATCCTCGGCAACGGCGCCAAAAACTTGTTGCGAAATCGGCAAGTATACCGTTCGTTTCAAGTAATAAAGTGATAAGTAGAGTATCGTTTTCACGAGGATTAATGCACCAAGTACTAGTTTAACTATTACTGGCTTAAACAAATTAAAGAAAAAGTATTCATGAAAATAATAAAGAAAAAGAAGAAGAAGAAGAAGAATCAATGGTCTTCGTTCTTCAACTCCGTCGGAATCCTGATCTCCAGCGTGAGCCTCCAAGAATTCTCTCCAGCCAAAGATTTTTTGTCTTTGAGGTCTGAGTCTCTATTTATAGAGTTTATGCCTTGCTTAGAAATCTTGATCGAATCTTCATTGTGTATCTTGGTCTAATCTTCCTTTAATTCAGTCTGAGATAGAATAAAGATTTTCTCGTACCTCCTGCGTTACTAGCGCCAGTTTGGCACTAATAGCGTGGGAGTTTTATTCAGCATACTGCAGGTTGGTGCTACTAGCGTGGTTCCCACGCTGATAGCATAGTTGGTAAAATTGGCTGGCGCTACTAGCGCCAGTGCCACGCTAGTAGCGTGGCAGTCTCTGTATTGAAAAGTTCTTCTAGCGCTACTAGCACTACACCCGCGCTACTAGCGTGGGGCTTCAGACTTGTGCTTCCAATTTGGACTTCTTTCTGATCCGTTTTCCTACAAAATTAGTAGAAAATCAATGACAAGATATCTGATTAAGATTTATCAATTTAATAACAATTTTAACCCTTTTATCCAGAATTGATCAAGATTCTTTCTCTTTTTTGGCTTAAAATCATATATATGCGGGAGGCATATCAAACACCTACACAAAGGTGCCATGCCACCAACAAAATCATGTGAATATCAACTTACATTCACAAGTAATACAAGGTAATTCAACACATTTCAACAAGTGGAGGACTTACCTAACCAAGAATTACTCTAGGTTCAAGTCCACTTCCATTGCATCATCCGAAGCTTGATTTGTCAGTGGTGGCTTACTTGTCTTAATCCTAGAAACACCATGAACATGACCATTACAAACCAAACAAGCTACATTTTTAGTAACTTAGGAATTTTCAACACTTTATCAAGTCATTTTCTAACAATTTTAGGAAGGTTGCTTAAACAGTTTTCTAAGAACATTTCTATCGATTAAACATCATCCTTAGTATACTTCACAACATACACTAAGCCTCATTCATGCCACAACTTGTCCAATCTACCAACATAACAACAAAACCCTAACTTTGCATTTCAACTCAAAACACAAAGAGGTTAAGGATTCTTGCCACTAATCAACCCACAATGCCTCAAGGATCACTCCGTCCAATGGCTCACTCAGATGTAAAATAATAATAATGCACTATACATATATCATACAATCTCCAGCCCAATGGCCTACGACATACGACAAATGGCAAACGAGCTCTCATCCAAGAATGTGTTCCCAAAATATCATTCAGAGCGCCCCCAACTATAACTCCCGAGACATTTATAGAGTGCTCCTCAACAGATAACAACTCTTCAGCCCCCAGGCCAACTGGAACTCCCTACGGATGCCTATCTAGTGGAAGTCTCCTACGGCATACAACAACTATCTACTTGCCAAAGATACGGTGCAACTCTATGTACCCAAACAACAACACGTGCATGATCACGTTATACTTACACTATTGCATCAAACAACTCCCACCACTACCCCAATGGGCATGGTGGAGCACATATGGGGATTAACCTCAATATCAAAAGATTACTTTTTTGAAGCTCCTGAGCTAGGTAGCTTCAAAACACAAGTTACCCCGTAACTTTCTTCAATCAAGAAATGCTTACACAAAAAGTCATTTCCACAACATTTAGTACCAAAATGACAACCCAATTAGTCATTCAATCAATCATGCATCAAGTGACTCAATCACTTACCAATATCCTTTTGGTCAAGGACCAAAGGTAATCCACAAGCTCCAACCTTCAATCTTTAAGAATCATGTTTGTGGGAGGCAACCTACAATGATCTATAGGATCATCAATGCACTTGTCACACAAGTCATATTTCAAGACAGTTCACTTCACCCCATAAACATACAATTCGGCCATCATGGCCTTTTTACATAATTAATGTTGTTAATTTCATTTCATTATTCCTATGGATTCCATAGCCAACCACAACTCTATAACCATCCAAGAATTTCATCAAACCATAATTTAGTACAACTTTTCATTAAAATCCTCGTTATGGCCGAATTGTAGGCAACTATAGCACCTCATATTTATAAATCATGTATTAAAATATTAAATGAGAATTAAAGGAAATGATTAGTGAAAATCCTGAAAATTAGGTCAAAATACAAAGGAAGGGTAAAACGGTAATTAGCCAACACACAACCCTAGAAAGATAAAAATTGAGTATAAGGTCTAAATTGATGAAAATAACCCTCGAAATGGATTCATAACAAAAAATTGAGTGGTTAGGCAAGTTTCAGAAAATTCAGTGAATAGTATTTTTATCGGGTGAAAATACCGCGGTACGATTGCACCGTAAAATTTGCCGATTGAGTTTTGAGCTCTAGGTTTTGAATACAAGTTATAAATGGTTTATAGGACTAGGAAATATGATTTCTGATGAAATTTGACGGAAATTAGTAAGTTTGGGGAAGCATGCCTACGGCGCGCGTAACAGCTTAAAACAGCATTTTCTCCGAACAACCAGAAAACTCTGGATTCATCTGATCAAGGGTAATTAAAGGACAATGGTTAATGTTAAAAATTAGAGTTTCTAAATAGGTTATGAATTTATGGACGTTTAGTGGAATCAGAGAGAAATTCGAGTTAGTTTGAAATCACGTGAGGTGGCGGTGGGGCCCACCTCACTTAAAACCATTTAAGACACATAAGCATGACACTATTCATTATCTTCTCTCCTCCCTCTCCTTGTGAAACCGCGACAGCCCCCCCCCCCCCCCTGTCCATTTGAGTTTTTGATTTCTTCCCTCCATAACTTAGTCATTTAAGCACCAAATCAAGTGATCTTTAACTTGAAATTTGTTGGAAACAACCTTCCAAACCTATTGGTAGTAGTATTAAGCCATGAAACTCACTATATCTTGAGAAAATCCTCCCCAAAATCTGTGGCCCTTTTGTGTAGATTGGTGTTCATGGAGTTGTTTGGAGCTCCAATGGTTTAGTATGTCTTGGAGGAGCCTTAGGCCAAGCTATTGAGTAAGTATTCCTCACATTTTGATGGTGTGAATTGTTGATTGGTTTCATGAACCCTAAGGGGGCTTTTGATGATTTGTGTTGTTAGAGAGCTCAAATGAAAAATGTGTATTAGATGATTATGTCTTAGAATGATGTGTTTGAGCTATAAATGCAATAAAATTTATTGGTGAAAATATGATCATAACTTAGGAAAATTTGGATGATGCCATGACTTTGTGTTGAAGATTGTTGTTAGGACTGTGTAATTGGATTCTTGTATGGTTGTATGATGTTATAATGGGATTGTATGAGGTGTGGAATAGTTGAATTGGATTGAAAAATCCTTGGTGGTTGTCTATAGTGAATTCGGCCTTGTTAAGAAAATAAGGGAATTGATGTTGCAAAAATTGTTTGGATGATGTGTTGTGTATTATATGGTAATTAGATGAGTTGTGTGATGGTTGGAAGCTTTGAAAATCAATGGAAAAATAATGGAGTGTATTGGATTGTGTATTGTCCCTAGAAGGAAATAATTGGGCAAAATGATGTTAGGATGATGTAAAATGAAAAGTGACACCTAAAATGATATATTGGTAACCTAAGAGTGCCTAAGAAAAATGAAAAGAAAATTTAGAAAAATAATTTGTAAATTTACACTACAATTCCGAACCTACCTAGGTGTAGGGGAGAAATTTGACATTTTTGGATTTTGATAGATTTGTCGTGTGTT